CCCACACACACCCACACACCCACACCCACACACACCCACACACACCCACACACCCCCAAACACCCACACACCCACACACCCACACACCCACACACCCACACCCCCACACCCCCACACACCCACACACCCACACACCCCCGAGTGCGCGCAAGCGCGCGCGCCCGTGCGCCCACGCGCACACGCGCACAAGCCCACACGCGTTCGCGCGCACACGCGTTCACACGCGCCCGCGCGCACACACACCCACATGCCCACACACCCACACTTGCGCACACGCGCACACGCACCCCCACACCCACACACCCACACCCACTTACCCCCACACCCACACACAAACACAAACGCAAATGCACACGTGCACACGCACACACGCGCACACGCACACGCACACACGCACACACGCACACTCACATCGAAGACAGATAGTAAGATCGATGTCTGCTGCAATAAGATGCATTATCTGGTGGTGTCGAGGCATGGTCTACTTTTCGCAGGAACTCGGGTTGCAGGGAGGCGGGATGCATCTTGGTTTCCGTGCTTGTGAGAGGACAGCTGGAAATTTGCCGCAGGCTGGCAGCGATGTTTTCGACAGGCTGCAGGCAGATGTCCTCGGTCATTTCGAAAAGTTAAAAGCGTCTTCCGACTCCTGAGGCTGTGCGAGCATCATGTGCCGGCCTCGTTAGCCAGCGGCGGCATATGGAGGCCTGAGCAAGTTGAGCAAGTCCTGAGCGTGTGAACGCCCGTATGAGATGTGGCCTGGAAGGATTGGTTTGCTCATGGCTGAGTCGAAATGCTGCTTTTTGCGAGCATCATGTTCCGTGCCCGCATTTCTTGGATCTGGATGTGTCGACACTCAACTGTGAGGTCCGGCAGCATCATTCTATGCTAGCCGCTCGACAGGCTGCACGGGAGGCCGGGATTGGCAAGTAGAAATCAGTGAAATGAACGCATGTCGTATATTTTGCAAGCGATATTACGAAGTGCATGACATAGAGATTAACACGGCGTGAAAGATCGAGCCGCGATTCACTTCGCTCATGAGGTTAGATGAAATAGTCAGCAAAAGATTTGAGCAGTTAAAGTAGAAGACATACATGTAACGAATTCTGCATGATTGTAGCTGATCTGTTGCTGTTCATGCTTGTCTTCTGTCAAAATTTGCACGGGCGTATCCTTATATGGTCGACTTCGGACGCCTCGGAAGGTTGCCAGCGCCTGGGCTTTCTACTGCACGCTGAAGCTTTTCCGAGCTGTGCTTGTTTCATGGAGGATCAGCCGCCTTCTTAGCAAGTCCAAGGCCTTCAACCCATGTCGGCAATGTGAAATTTCAACTGAGGTGCCTTAACAGCAGCCTTCAAGAGGGAGCGACAGTGGCAGGACACCATGTGCCATCGATTGCGGGCTGCAGTCTGCTGTCAGTCTGCCGCCTTCATGAGAGTGTGCTTCAATCCTTTGCCCTCTCTCCCGACGCACAACATGGAAAAACGACGGATCAAAACACGCACGCTGTAAAGTCTTTTGTTTCTTTACATGTGAAAGAGGGCATTTCAGGGGCATGTATCAGCTCTGCCCCTTGCCTCCATTTTCTTTCACCTTTCTTCTCTATCAACCCGGCCACGTACTCCCAAGGATTCCCAGAATTAGGGCACAAACAACGAGCGTCGCCATACCTTCAGATGGCAACGCGCAAGTCTTTCTTGCGACAGAGGGGCTGAGCTCGGGGTATGACATCCATCAAGTTGCCATGGTTGTTTACCATGTCTGTTTCATGTCTAAACTCCCAGGCTTGTCGGGACTGGCTGTTGAGCTCTTGGTCCCCCTGTGGGAAATGCCGCTTCGTGCCGCAAACTCCGAGCACAGAAGCCAGGCCAGGTTTCGAGGAGTGTCCGAATCCTCTAGGCAGTAAGTGAGTATCCACACACCTTGAAGCCGTACAGGTTTGCAGCCCTACATGAATGGAAACGGCATAGCGGCACAGCTTGTAAGTTGGGCCAATCAAAGGTGATAGATTCTGAAAGATCATGGAAGGTGATAGTGTGGCTTGGGGGCGGGTTTCGAGGTTAGGGCTTGGGAGCGTCATAGCTTAAGATGCCACCTTGGTGAGACAGAAGCTTCCGACTGCTCGGGGGTTGCTCAATGTTCAACGTCATGAACCAAGTACTGGATGGTGATTCACTATTCAGGGTGAATAATACGCACTTCAGCTTCAACAGTGCTTCTCGATGTTGGCTTGGGGTTTACGGTTTGGATTCAGGGCTTTTCCATCGAAACAACATCAACACAGTGACCACCTGCCTTGCCGCACAACCTCCACACACGGCACATTACACACCCGCTCGCGGCGCAATGATGTTGGGCCCATACCGCATTCGACAGTCGAGAACACCCCAAGGCCTTTGACCTGGCACTTCAACAAGTGCCCACTCGTGCTGGTTCCGCCTCTTTTCGCTGACGATTTTTTAGGGTTTAGGTCACTGCACCCTTGCTCTTCCAACGTCCGGTCGTGCGATCCAAGTAAGCACGCACGCTTTCGTGTAACATCCAAGTAAGAATGTGAGAATTTCCTCATTATGCATCGCTGCTGTCATAGCACCCTCAGCTACATTGACACTGGATCCGGAAGACTGGGGCTAAAGCGAAAGGCGGCAGGACCGCGGAAGGATCCCCGCCAGAACTTGGCCGTACACATGAAAACCACTGAGCTTTACTGGACTTACCAACGAAAGGCGCTGCAAAATGGTGGTGGCACTCGCCACCTTCCAACACAAAGGCCACAATACCTTGGGGAGGTTTGCTCCCGCCCGGCGAAGCCGGCGCAAGTCACGCCCTCAGAGCATACCAGCTGAGCCGCGATGTACTTAAGCGTTGTCGGTGACGGCAAAAGGCGCATGGGCAATGCAGCAACTTACACAATCCCCCATCAAACTGCGGCAGACTGCGGGAGCGTCCATCCCATCGTCCGCGGGATTGTGTTCACGCTCGGATCTAGGGTGTCTAGTGCGGTGGCGTAAGGGGGTGTGCTGGGGAGTTGATGATGTCTCTAACACGAATCTTAGTTTCCGAATCATAGTTCGAAGAAAGCCGAACCCAGGGTTAGCTTCGTTGGGGGCCTCGGCTGGAACCCTCAAGTAGGCTTGATTTGGTGTTTCGTTGGGCATCCACCTTCATGACATGTGTGTCAGGACCTGCAGCGCAAAGCCGAGGCTTGCCAAAGGCCCTGGCAGTTTGCTTTCTGTGTTTGGCAGTGGCAGAGGTACAGGAGGAGATGTCGACAGATTCGGCGCTTGAGCGGCAGCGAGCTGCTCAATCGAAGGCTGCGCAGGCCGCTGCCACACTTTCCGACAGCTGGGGGTGTTCTGAGGATTTGGCGCTGCGAGCCAGGTGCTGTTCAATTCTTTGAACGAGGGAAGTCTGCTCTTGGTGTTTCAAAGATGGCATCGCTTGGCCTTCAAGGCTGGTCATGTCACCGAACTTGGCTCTCCTGTGACCGGATTACACGTGACAGGAGAAACGCCACAAGCAGGTAGTCCTGCTACGTCAGGCATCAGAGGCCATCTGGACTTAACAATGCTTCGCCTGTAGCTCCACAAGTCGCATAAGTAACAGGACAAACTTGAAGCGCGGCGGCGGCGGCAAAGCCAAGCTGAGCTGACCACAGCCAGGCTGCCACAGATCGAATTTCGCGTTTCTGTGGGCCAGAGTTGACCAATGTTGACCATCTCAGGTACCGTGAGCAAGCATTCTCCTTCATGGCCTCAGGCCCGATCCCAAGATTCAAGACGGGCCGTCCCCAGAATTGGGCTTTCTCGAAAGAGCCCTGAAACTTCATTCTTCAGGCACTGTGCTCTTTCGTTTTCGGGGTTGAGGATCCGTGGGATCTCCGAACTGGATGCGGCTATTCCTGCACGAGCCTTAAACATGCCCTCTATCATGAGAAGCTCATGTGATAACGTCGGTGTCATTTTGTCATCACCTGCAATCACACCCTGGCACTTCGCCACATTGTCTGTGGATGCTGAGCGGTACAGTGAGGGTACGTGGGGGTTGATGAGAAG